ATTCTCCCTGCGTGCACGGCTGTCCCGAAAATGGCCGAAATATGAGCAGGCCCTGTCGAGTCTTCACGCGCGTTATGGCCACGTAGCTCGACATACAGCTCACGTTTCTGCCTTCCTCCAAGTCCGCTATTACCGCGTCGAGTGTTCGCCCTTGCGCTGCGTGCGCCGTGCACGCCAGCCCAGGCGAAATGATAAACTGTCTCCGTTTCACTCCTAGCACGGGCTTCTTTCGATACGAGTCCAGATGCCACGTCCGAGCACGAGGGACTATGGGATACAGCCCGGGTCCTGGCATCCCTTTCAGCGTCCACTTCTCGGTGTGAAAATCCAACACGATTCGCCTCGGCATATTACGCAGGACTCTCGACGACACGTCCTGCACGTCTTCATCTTCTTCTTCATCTACCACCCATGAATGTATCGTCGCGCGACACCCTCGTAGCAATTGTTTCTCTGATCTGTCCAATGGTCCGTCGGTACAACTGGCATGCCCACGGCAAGCGGTAACCATCCTGGCATGTCTGCACAGGCCTTGTCGTGGTATCCGAGCCACCGCACTCTGTCTGCTGAGGTGCACGGCCTTTCCTGGTACTTAGCGTGCGTGGCCTTATCCCGCGCATAAGCCCACGAAGTCTGTTTCTTCTGGCACGCAGCCCAGTCCACGGCCCGCTGCCGCGCTACCTTGCACTTCACATCCTGATCCGAAAAAAGAGGCAGCGGCTTCGACGAATTGTGGAAGTGCGAATCGCTCGTCTGCGGGACTGGTGGCTACGAGACATCGACGCTTTCTTTCCTCTGCACACCGTCCACACTCCAGCCCGTTGTCCTTTGCGATAGACGCCGCGTTCTGCATGCAGGATAGCGAACCACACATCGGCTGGTCATGTAACCAAGATCCTGAAACGTCTGTAGCGCCATCGCCACTCAAGCTCAACTTAGGCTTCCAATTGAGGGTCCGCCGCAGGAGAACCAACGTCCGCGGCCTGCGCTTGGGAGACGATGGTGAACGCCGTAGACTTGGCCAAGCGGGCGCTCGTGAAGCTGCTGAAGGAGAGGCGGTGGTCTACGCGGTGACCATAACTATCTCACAAACTTCGCACGACCCGACTGTCCGCACTGCATTCCGCAAGATCTTCGTGAAGACGCACGAAGGCCGCGGCGGGGATGCTGACCACCACCACCGCCAACACCTGAATGCTGCGTATCGCGCGTGGGGGGCAGCGGCTAAAGAGAAGCAGGCGCACGCGGTTTATGTTGCATCCTCGGGGGACCTTGTCTGGCCCGTCGCGGCCCTGTCCGCGTCGAATCCGTGTCGAATCCATGTCGGACGCGTCGGATCCGTGTCGAATCCGTGTCGAATACGCGTCGAATCCACGCCAAATCCGCGTCGAGTCCGCATCGAGCCCGCGTCGGGCCCCCCAAGAAGACACCAATTTTTGGGACAGGCGAGGTCCCCCGAAGATGCAACAGAACGCGGTGAAGGGCAGGAAGGAGAAGGCCACCAATGGGGAAGAGCGGGAATGGCGCTGATGCAGCTGCACGTCAGCTTTCTCTCGAAGGGCGGCAAAAAGGCCACTCCGCTGCCACCGAAGGCGGTGCGACAGTCCTGCGGCTTCCGCGAATCCACCGTCAAGGTGTGTGCCGTGCCCGCCCATCAGAGACCAAATCGGCGGGGAAAAAAAAACTTAGTAGTGGAAACAATTTGTTTTCAAAATGTTTGGTCTTTAGAAGCTCTGCGTGGCGACGCCCCCGTCGCCACGCGTGCCCTCTGCGTGCCCGCGGGGGGCGCCGCCACGTAGAAGTACTGGAGACCGAGCAGTTGGGGCGTCGCTACGCACGCCCTCTGCGTGGCTGCGACCATTTGTTTAAAACCTAAAACCCATTAAATTCACTAATAAGGTACCCTGCGGTGGAAGTAGTGCTTCTTGAATTTTCAGGCAGGCATCGTGCGGGGCAGGTGCGGCAGGCTGATGAGCTCGCGCGTTCGGCGGCACTTGGCCCATGATGAATTGACTGGTGGCCGCCAGGGCCGCTCTCATCGCAATCGTGGTTGAGTTGTTGTCGACCCTCGAAGTGTTGGCGGTGATCGCAGTCCATACCCTGATGACTCGTACAGCCATGATGATATGACTATGGTGGCCACCTTCATGATGCTTGATCATGCCCATCATCACCATGATCATGTGATGATGGGTCTCCTTATCCCTCGCTAGACTCTTAGCGAAGAGTGACTGTGGCGGGGCGGGTTAGTACACGTCATATTGTGCTCTCAGATCCGGACACATCAAGTCCCGTACATGACAAAAACTGGGTGGGACCAAGTCCCGCAACCCCGTCAAGTCCTGCCCGGCGGTTGATCAAGTCCCGGAAGAGTTGCACTTTTCAAGGGAATTCTGTTGTCACTGATGTATGTATTTCACAGCTACTTAGTGATTGGTGGTCGCCATGTGTGTGCCGCATGAGTATGATGCGCGCTGGTGGATGCGGATGCCGTATGTAAGTTATGTCAGTCGTGCTTGCGTGTCGCTATTGCCAATCGTGTATATCTGTCGTTTTCGCCTGCCGCTGTGCATGTGTCATATGAGTTGTTGTGCCGTGCTCGCATGTTATGCGTCTGCCCTGTTTGCTCGTCGAGTCCAGCATTTGCACTTTGCGCACCTGTGCACCATAGTGTCCTATGGTGGGTGCGCTATGGCTGGTTCATGGGCTCTTCTGGGGTTCCGTATCTGGCCGAACTCGGCGCGTGCCCCCAACGCCCACTCGAACATCCCGAGCACGAGCACGAGGGGCATGTGGGCGCGCGCTCCTGCTGTGCCTGCACGTGTTGAGCCAGCTTCGAAAGGCCAGGAGCCGAGCATCGAGGCCGAGGAGCCCAGCCCGGCCCGAGGCCTCCCGCCGCCTTCGGCCCCCGATGGGGGGCCTTCCTGAGCCCTGGGGCCGTCGAGGAGCGGCCCCTGGAGGAGACGCCAGTCGGCTACAACCACTCCTCCTCCTCCTCCCCCTCCTCCTCCTCCTCCTCCTCCTCTTCTCCTCCTCCTCCTCCTCCTCCTCCTCCTCCTCCTCCTCCTCCCTCCTCCTCCTCCTCCTCCTCCTCCTCCTCCTCCTCCTCCTCCCTCCTCCTCCTCCTCCTCCTCCTCCTCCTCCTTCTCCTCCTCCCTCCTCCTCCTCCTCCTCCTCCTCCCCCTCCTCCTCCTCCTCCTCCTCCTCCTCCTCCTCCTCCTCCTCCTCCTCCTCCTCCTCCTCCTCCTCCCCTCCTCCTCCTCCTCCTCCTCCTCCTCCTCCTCCTCCTCTTCTTCCCCCTCCTCTCCCTCCTGCCTCTGCTGCTGTTCCTCCGCCTCCTCGGATGTCACCCTCTCGCTGCCCGCGAGATCGCACAAGTGCACCGCGGAGTTGCGCAGCTTCCCGCCGGGGAACACCTGGGCGGAGGGCGCGGCGTCCGCAGCCCATCCCCCCACCGCGGAGAGGCAGATAGAGTGATAGGGCGAGAAGGAGGGAGGGAGGGAAGCGGGAAGCGGTGCAGCGGCAGCAGTCGAGTCGATAGCTGCAGCTTTGGATGGGAGGATCGCGGGAGGGTGGGCAGAGATGCCACCCCTCCCGCTAGATTACGGCGACCGACAGGGCGCCTGGCCGTGCTCCGAGGGGTGGCGCCTGCAAACCAGGCACCACGGAGGACGGCTGCTACATTGCGGCACAGGCCGACAGAGGGCAAAATAAAATTGCCTGGCAGTGGAAGTGGGGCCACGAGAAGGAGGGAGGGAGGAGCGGGGGGGGGGGGGGGGCGGCGAATGCGGCGGCGAGAGGTGACTGGCCGATCTCGCAAGCGACCAACGCAAAAATAGTTGCTCCTGGCGCCCAGACTGCAGCCAACAAAGACACGACCCAGCGTCTGTTGCCTCGAAAGTTGTTCGGCCCGAGATGGCCTCTGCAATGAAGGCTGCCCAAATTGGCCCCTGGAATTTCCCAATGCCATCTAAGAAGGTCCCAAGAGAGAGAGCACGAGAGGGCCCCTGATGGGTGGGGGGGGTCCGGGTGGCCGAAACCCTGTAAGAAGCACAAGGAAAATAAGGCCCCGGGCCATCCATGCCCTGGCCCCGGGCCCCCCATGCCCTTGCGAAGTCCTTGGGCGGGACCCCCCTGGCCACGTCCCCCAGTATATATATATATATACACACACATACATACATATATATATATATATATATATACACATATATATATATATATTTGTACACATCTACCCCTCCCTCCCTCCCGCTCTCCCCGCCTCTCTCTCTCTCTCTCGCGTTTTTTTTTTCTCTCCCTCTCTCTCTCTCTCTTTCTCTATTTCTGACTCTCTCTCTCTCGCTCTCCCTCTCTAACTCTGCCCGTCGCAACTACCATCTCATGCGATGCGGCAAGATCTGAGACGCGTGCGCTGGTCAATCGCACATACCGTGTCGCGCACAAGGTAAAACAAACACCAGCGAGACACGGCAACATCGTCCTACAATTCCTCCTCCCTCTTGCCCTCTGCCCCCTGGTACAGTTGCACCTCCTTCCTCGGACCTGTCGCGAAGCATGTCGCTTGTTCAGCCTCGCCGAATTCGGGGGCGAACCCTGTCACGATGACACTCTTCTTGGATGTTCTCGGAATGTCGGCACACAGAGTGGTCCGCGGACAGCGCTGCCCTGCGGCGGCCCTGCGGGGCGGGCACCTGGGTGAGCCGCAGCGTGCACACGGAGTGGGATCGCGACGAAGTGGAGTTCATGTTCGTCTGGGCCGTGGCGCGCACCTGGGAGGGGAAGGCGGACAACGGCCACCACGGAGGAGGAGGAGGAGGAGGCGGAGGAGGAGGGAAAGGACGATGAAGAGGAGTGACCCTAGCTGAGGGGGAGGGTCTCCGACAGGGCGGGACTAGCTCAGCGTGACACGTGCTACAGTGAGCACGGCGCTGGACGTGGACCTCACAACGATGTACTTTGCGCTCCTGGGGAAGATGCAGAGGAGAAGGGCGATGAGGATGAAGAGGACGAGCAATAGGATGATGGAGAGCGAGCACACGCACGGCCGAGTTACACCTCGCGCCAGCACACTACAATCCTCACGACATCGCTGTCGCAACGGATGCGCGGCCTTTGGTGGTTCAAATGGACCATAAGAAAATATGTGAATCCCTGTACAACTCTGACCTGCATGCCGTGTTAAACCTTACCCCTCATCGAGGCGATGAAAGGCCAGTAATGTGCACTCGGGGGTCGCACGGAACTCTTATGACAAAGTATGACTCCCTCGACACACGAGGCACTCACGGGGAAATGCGATCACGCGGAGGCGCATGGAGAGCACACGTTACATCCACCGGATGTCCAACCGCCTCGGGCGTTCAATTCGATTCAAGAACCTTGCGAAACTTTGTCATCGTTTGTCGGGCTTCCCTGATTCAAGACCTGGAAGATCCTTTTGTGAAGGTCGCCCTCGGTTGTAAGTGTAACCGCCGCCTGCTGCTGGGCATGCTGCTCCGCGGTTCGACCGAAGAACTGCATGAACGGACCAGTCAAGCTGCTCACTGTCTCCTGGTCAAAGAAGTGCTCCCACGTCTTGAGCGCCTTTCTGATCTCGTCGACGTCAGCCCTGCAGGTAAGGAGCTCGGCAGGGTCTATACACTGCAGCCGCAAGGGGTACGCAGGGTCCACAGGCTTGCCCCAGAATGCTTGCGGGGTCGAGGCCATGGCCTTTGCGACGGCGTCCTTGGGCTTGTGGGCCACCAGCGCCGTCGTCGTCTCGCCGAGGCCGCCGAAAAGCTCCCGGCTCTTCGGTCAGACCACGACCACAAACTTCTGCAGTTCAACCTTGCACTCACCGAGCAGCGTAGGTGGCTGTGACCATGGTTCGGGCCGAGATTCCCAATCAAGCAAGATAACGATCGAGCAAACACAGCTTCAAACAGGAATCTGACAAATACGGGAAACAGGAACATGTACAACAGGACAGTGGAGAGCAGGGAGAGGAAGAAGCCGATTATTGACGAAGCAATAGCAGCACAAGTAAGAGCGCGCAAGTCAAGGAGAAGGGAATTTCCCAATCAATCATCAATGTGGGGCACAGCCCCACGGCAGCCTGCCGCCTAGGTCAGTCACATCTCCCTGGACCTTGCGCAGAAGCCGGATTCAGGAAGACGCCAGTGACTCCGCCATCCACGCGTAACCGCATCCAATCATATGCACCTCTATGTTTCTCTCTACCAGCTCCACAACCACACCACTTCCAGTTCAGCTGCACGCAACGGGCAAATCTTCATCAGCTCACCCTGTTCGTGTCTGACTTGTTGTGAAGGGATTGTTATGAACATAGGCGCTCTCCGTTGCCCGTATGTCAGGATGCCCCGTACGCGCTGTCTCTCCGTCTGATTTCCCGATGATGAACCCCTCCTCGCAGAGGGGGTGAGACACAACGAGGCGATTGTGCCTGTACGCCTGTCGGGACTTCGTGAGGAAGAAGAATGAGAAAAATAATAAGAAGAAAATCACAAGTGAGAGCAAGCAGAGACGGAAACAGGAACAGCGAGGGGAAGAGGAATCTGATAAGCAGCGGCATCAGGAAGGTCGATACAGCGCGCCAGACACACACGATGCGGCCAGAGCGACGAGGCATGTGCGGACGCTCGAGGACGAAAACCACATGTTCCCTCAGCACGCATACCGTCGGGGCGTTGACCTAAGGAACCCTAAATAAGGAACGAGGCCCCTTTTCTCCACAAGTTAAACTTCGATTTCCTGTCGAAAACATAAGGACAACCTGAGGCAAGCTGTGAAACACTCAAGGAACACGGAGCCCCTCCCCAACGAAAAGGGTTCCTTCTTCAGCGACCCGACTGCACACACCAAACCAACAGCACGAGAAGGGGTAGGAATAGAAAGAGGATGCTGAGAAACTCAGGGAGGACGAATCTCAGAGCCCACCGAAGGACCGAGCAGGGCCGAAGGGCCGGTCTGGAGGGAGGACTCCCGGCACGACGGGGGGCCTCCGTGCCCGTTCCAGCGCTCGGGCCGCCAGCTCTCAGCGACAGCTACGGTGGGGGCATTGGATAAAGAGCCCTTCGATAAGGAATCCAGGGTATGCGGGCGCAGCCACTGGGGCCTTCGGTGGAGCTCCCTATGGGGCCACGAAACGTGTGAGGGGTGTGGCTTGGCCATGGATATCACCGCCGCCCTCATCAGATGAGGAATCCTCGGGGGTCTGGCGCCTCCTGGGGCTATTCCTTCACAGACGCCTCCCCCGTATCGTGCACCGAGGCAGAGAGCAGACCGGGATGTTCGCCAGAGCAGGAGAGTGCAGGGAGATCCCGATGCAGGCGCCCAACGTACATCCCCCTGACCACCCTCCTTCGCCCCGGTAAGTCCCCCCCACCCCCGCCACTCACCGGCCGAAAAGCAATGAAGTTTTTACTTGATGCGGAAATGCCGATCACCGTGGCAGCATCAATCGCGTCTTCACCAAGAAAATGGTATGGTCATGCAATCAACGTTCTGGTCTTGACAAATGACGGGGTGGTCCGACTTGACGACCCCGTAACCGTGCTTCTCCGGACGGGATTCGTCTCAGCCACACGGCCAAATTGAAATTAGACGATGCGGCGTTGCCATGGATCGGAGGTTGGGGGATGAGATCCCAGTGAAACGCAGACCCCCCACCGGGAAATCGGTTTCGGCTTCGTGTTCGTGTCGTGCGTGCGGGCGAGGCGAAGCTGCGCGTGATCCTCCTGTAGCTAGGTCAAGGTAGGAGCGAAAGTCCGTTCCCGTACGCCGGTGGCTGGGAGGTGTCCCAGTCGGGCCGGGCAGTGTCCTGGGTGTCCCCAGTGTCAGTAGGAGCGAAAGTCCGTTTCCCGTCCGCCGGTGGCCGGGAGGTGTCCCAACTGGGCCGGGCGGTGTCCCAGGTGTCCCGGGCGTCCCGGCGCTAACGCATGTCGCTAATTTCAAAATTCATTGTTTTCGGCGCCTGCGGCGGGCTTTCTTGTCCAATCCAGCTTATCTTATCCAATCCATCTTGTCCAATCCAATCCATCTTATCTTATCCAACCCAAATTGCCCCATCTTAGCTTGTCCCAATCCAATCCACCCAAACCAATCCATCAAGTCATTTGCTTCTGCGTACGCAGCGGGCCAATCCAATCAATCTGATCTTATCCAATACACTTCTTCCAACCCATCCCATCTTATCTGATCCAATCCATACTATCCTATCAAATCCAATCCACCCAACCCAATCCATCACATCATTGTTGTCGGCGCCTGCGGCGGGCTTTCTTATCAAATCCAGCTTATCTGATCCAATCCATCATGTCCAATCCAATACATCTTATCTTATCCAACCCATATTGCCCCATCTTCTCCCACCCAATCCAATCCACCAAACCCGATCCATCAATTCATTTGTTTCTGCGCCTGCGGCGGGCCAATCCAATCCATGTTACCTTATCCAATACACAAATTTCCAGAACATCCCATCTTATCTTTTCCAATCCATCTTATCCCATCCAATCCAATCCACCCAACCCAATCCATCAATTCATTTTAGTCGGCGCCTGCGGCGGGCTTTCTTATCAAATCCAGCTTATCTGATCCAATCCATCTTGACCAATCCAATCCATCTTATCTTATCCAGCCCATCTTGCCCCATCATATTTTATCCCACCCAATCCAATCCATCCAACCCAATCCATCAATTCATGTGTTTCTGCACCTGCGGGCTTTTGATCTCAATCCCCCCCAAACCTCCTCATCGCCTGCAGGGCGGTCGTATAGGTATGATTCGCTGGCGGCCCGTCTACTGCTGTTCGCAGACCTGATGGTCCCCGTCTCAACGCCTTCACAAGCTTTCTGTGATTGACGCGTCCGCCAGAAGTAATCGGAGGACTGATGTCAACAGTTAACATGTTGAGTAGTCTGGGGGCACCCAGAACGAACCGCATGTCGTTCACATGGTGCCTGCAGGAACAGAGCGATGAGGCGTGAGCTGCAAAAAGTCGCAGCGGGAGGGAAGGGCTGCATGAGCAGGAGGAGGCAGAACAGGCAGATCGTGCAGATGTGGGCGAAGCCTTTCGGGCAGAGGCGACCCAGGCCAGCGCCCTCGAGGGGCAAGTTTCTGACAGGAAGTGGAAATCGGGGGCGCATCTCGAGGGTCTGCGCTCGGGGCAGCCGCGAGAGACAACACGCGGAACTGCCCCCCCGCGCCTACGGCCTCCCGTGCCGAAAGCCCACGCGCCCCTCCCGCCCCAAAGGCGCCCCCTGTGACCTCGGGCCCCTCCCCCTGCCCCTGGGCACCCCGCAGATCCGCCCGCCCCCGCCGGGGCCCGCCCCCGCGGGAGCCCGCCCCTCCCCCCCCCCCTCCTCCTCCTCCTCCTCCTCCTCCTCCTCCTCCTCCTCTCCTCCTCCTCCTCCTCCTCCTCCTCCCTCCTCCTCCTCCTCCTCCTCCTCCTCCTCCCCCTCCTCCTCCTCCCTCCTCCTCATCCTCCTCCTCCTCCTCCTCCTCCTCCTCCTCCTCCTCCTGGGAGGCGCACCGGGCCAGCGGCCTCCGATGACGCCAGCGTGTGGGGGGAAGGCTTTGGGGGGCGCGGCGGCGGCGGCCTTGGTGCCGAAGTCCAGCAGCCGAGAGCACTCCGCGGCGCTGACCGCGGCCGCCTGGGGAGGGCGGGGGGAGGAGAGGCAAGTGCTAACCAGCCTCGAACTTATCCCTATCCCTAAGATGGGCGAGCAAAAAGCGAGGACAATCTTAGGGATAGGCCCTCAGAAATTGAGGGAATCCTTAAGATCGGCATCGAGGTGAGGTGATGTCAAACATAGGGATAGGGATATGTTTCAAAATGGTAAAGTGCGAGGCGTCGGGTGATCGCAGTGCTGTACAAGCTGCGTGCACCACGCCGCGGGGTGCTGCCTGTTCCGCTGGCAGTCGGTACGCGTGGGTGGGCGTGGGCGGTTGAGAGTGAGGAGCGCGCCGTTTCGGCACGGCTGGGGCGTCTGCGGTATCAAAAAAGTCCTTCGGACGGGGACGTCTTGGAGCGGGACAAGTCGTCAGGATTGGTGATAGGTGCGGGCCCGCGCCGTTAGCGTGTCTGCTGGGGCTGTTGTCCTAAAGGTCGCACCTGGCGGGAAAAACGGTCAACAGGGACCACTCATGCCTTACAGGCGTGATGAACCACGTTTGTTACCTCTAGCTCCCGTGAAGGATCCTGTGAAAGGACCCTCCACTTGGCAACCAACTGGCAATTCAATCGGTGGGGCGACTACTGTTTCTCAGCGCAAATAGCCTGCCAACCGATGTCGTGAAAGCCTGCGCGGTCGAAATTTACTATACAATACTACTCTGTGACCACAGGCCACCATCACGCCAGCGCCTTCGAAACCTGTCGGCAACGGAGAGGAGCACAGATGACGAGGAGGTGCAGAAGCAAGGCCATGGCCATGGAGAGAAGGGGCAACGGCGTTGTGTGCATGCGCGTCCCCATGGTCCAGCCGACAGCTTGTCCCACTAAGTAGGCCTGCCACAACGACGAAAGAAAAGGAGAAACCGCGCCGCAACTATCAAGTGGTAACGCACGCAGTAGTGCGGGTGATAATGACTGGCGTTCAACCGCGCTGCAAACGGAAGCTGGAAAAGAGGGAAGCGGGGACAAGGGGCAAAAGGGCAAGAGAGGGGAGAGAGGAGAGGGCGTGTGTGAGGGTGGCAGCAAACCGCTCGTACCTTCGCATGATGTTCTAGAATCGGTGGCATAATCCCACCAGCCCTTTGGGCGTAAGTGGTCTAGCCAGTTCTTTTTGTCCTTTCCCAAGACCCTCTTCCCCTCGGGGAAGGGTACCCTCCTGCTCCTTTCCCTGAGGTCTTTCTGAATGGGTCGCGAAGTGGCCGGGGTCCTTTTTCGCCCAAGATGG